AAAGCTGTCTTATCACTCGAACCGAAATGTAAATGCCAATGTTTAAATTTAAATACATTCCTCTTTTTATGTCCATTCTCACATAACTTCTAATTTGGTATGCAGACTTTATATGAGGAATAAGGTGAAACACAAATACTCTTAGCTACATTTTTTCTTCAGAAAATATGAATCCATTTAAAAGCCTAAATAGCCTAAACTTGTGCGAACTACTATTTATATAAGAATCTGTTTAGGCTTACTTAGTTAATTCAGGTTCTTAGTCTCACAACTTTACTGCCCTATTGTTCCACTTTTTCTATTTCCTTTCCCTGTCACCATCTTTTCAGCCTTGGTTTTCCAATATCAAAAGTACATTCAATGATCAAGCAATTTATATTTTAACTAAAGCCAACAAAATATGCAAATAATATTATTGCTTGATATATATTAAACAGTGTAAACAGGTAAACAGATTGAATGACATCACTTAGCCTGTGTGGCAGGCATTTCAAAGAAAAGGGAAAGTGGGTCTTGGTGCAAGAGAAATGTGACGGAAGGAGGGAGGGAAATGCCTGCCATACAGGAGACGAATTGTTTTTTGCATTATAAACATCAACCAGGTGAATGTTGAAATCACTCCCTCCTTCCTCTTGCAGTGTTCGCATTTCCCTTGTGCCCAAAACCCCTTTCCCTTTCCTTTTAAAGGCCTGCTACAGAGGCTAATCACCACTGAATAAAAAAGGAACTAGGCAAGAAACTGACAAAGTCATAACATCCACACAACAACACACAACAAGCTTGGAAGTAGATTATGATTTTCTTTTCTCAAGAGTGATGCGCATATTTCTCTGAATAAAAGTAAAGTGCAAGCTTGGTGGATGTTATGAAACTCTTCTTCTACACTGCACTATTCTTGCAATTCTCCCAAAAACCATTTTTCATAAAGGATGGCTGGTTTCAAAATGCACAGGGCTTAACTGTATAATCAAACCTATCATTTAATTTAATACCTGTAATTCTTATCCTACTGATTTTAAACCTACATAAAGGGAATCAAATGTATGACTACAATTTTATTATGCTTTTTTTTTTTTTTTACAAAAACAGACATTCCTACATCAGAGTGCTCATCAGCCTATTTATATACCAATTTCGAACATTTCATGCTCACCTAATGCTATTGTTTGAAGGAACCAGTCGCCGCTGCCCCGCTATTTTGTGATCAGCTTGTGATTACAACAGCTGAGTAACACTTCCAGTAACATGTCACATTGGTCTTCGCGAGGCTACATTTTCCCATGAAAACATGCCGGTTTCAATTCGGAAAAAGTATCACAAAACGTGGGGCACGTTGGGGAGCGATAAAAAATTAGCGTAGAACAAGGTTTGTAGAAACACTTACAACTATCTTCTACTTTCGACGGGCAATATAATGGAAATTATAGCTTCTTAAAAACCGGATTCAAATTTCATGCTCTTACAGGAGGAAACTTCGGGCTCCACGTTTTAGATTGAAATGAAGAGTATTGATTTGTTTTTCTTCACAGAAAAAATCTAAACAAATATTAGCTTATGAAATCGAGTAAAACGATCTAAGGAAAGAACTGTATCTACTGAAAAATAAAGCATATAACCTGCGAAATTTCTCGACCTTTGCCGCCATCTTGAAAATTTTGAATCCACAATGCATCGCAATCGTAGTGCGCACACCGCCTGCTCTCGCATAAATTTTGAAATAAAAATGATCCGTTTGAAAGTACACATGATCTGATTGGTCAGAATATTTGTCACGTCTGTTAAATATAATAAGACCAATCACAGGCCAAAGAAGACATTGTTGATCATTGACAAGAATGTATTAGTTTTCTTGCCTGCCACTCGCTGACAGCACCAGTGGGTATCAAAATGGGAATAGTCATGTTGTTCTCTTTGACCAAATTGCAACTTTCTGAGAAGACTTAATAGAAAAGGAAGTGTAGTTTTCTTTTAGAGGTTATATTTTCTAAAGCATGTCCTTCCACTTTTACACTTTAGAGTGATTTATTACAGTTCACCCGTAGTTGCTCTGTTTCTTTATCAGATTGAGAGGTGGCGGAGGGAGCTCCATGAAAGGCTTGAAAAATTTTTTAAGTTTCCCTTAAAGGAACTTCAAGATCAGGGCCCCTATGACACAAACAGTGAAACTGATAGGTACTACCTATATCTTAATAGTTTTGAGTCACATACAATTAGTAGTGTGTACGAAAATGCGCTGCCAAAATCAAATAAACATGCCCATGCTTAATTACCTGTGTTCAGTACTTCTTGGATGGGAGAGTAGTAATTTATAAGGAACTGATGAGATCAAAATTGATGAAAAATCAATTTGTTTTGTTAATAAAGTGCGTTTAAGTCAACATTGAAATAGAGTGTTTACACAAGAGTTTTAAAGATCTGCTTTTGAATATGTTGGAAAAGCAGTGCATTTACAAGAGTTACCTAGGCAGAACATTTCTATTTGACAGGCTTCTTTTGGCATACGTAATGATACCAATCATGCACAGAGAAGTCAACACCTTTGTAGATGTGGTATGGAACTGTCACAGAATCCGTGAGCAAAGAGACACTTTCCTACCTGATGGAGTGCCCAATCACATCTACAGTTTTCCAGATAAATATGGACTGGAGGACTGTGGTAGGTATCTGTGTAATTTTTTTACCAGGGTTCTACTTTTGATCAGTGTCAGGATTCCATGTAAAAACTGGCACAAGAGCAGTAGGGATCCAAGAGTCAAATATAGGCAAAGTCATGAAAAGGTATGACAACTTACAAACGGACTGAATCAAAGTGAATCTCAAACATCATTGGATAACTCAAGTCACGTGCAATGATTGTGTGACAGTAGTCAAGCCCGATGAAAGTGATTGTGAATTTGAAAAGTGGAACTGCAAAATAGCTTCTTATTTCAGATTTATGGGGTTTCTGCAGTACATGACAAGCTTCTAAAAAATCCTGCTTTAACAACCACTATTGTATTAATTGGGAATGCTTTATATTTTTAACCTGCCTATTATTGTTTTATTCACTTTTTTGAAATATTCCCAAACTACTATTTTGTGGCTTTTATAAAAAAAATTTGACTCACCTTCATTAAGCACTAGTACCTATTATGAAGGATATGAAGTCACAGAGGAACAGCTAGAAGAAGTTGCGGGGCTTTCAGAAGTTCTCGCCAGCAATGATGATTACTTGAGTGCTGAGTTCAGGAATAAATGTGAACAAGTAATCCCTGATCCATTAGAGATTGATGTCAGTGATTTTGCACATGCTTTTCGGTATCTCAAAGAAAATGTAGATATACATACATAACAAGACGATGCAAGGAGAGTGCAAGATCAAAGGAATTAAACAGAACATAGCTGAATAGGCCATTTTACTGTCATGTCAAGCAAGTGACCTGACCTTAAACAGTGGTGAGGCTGAAGTTCACCTTGTTTCATAAACATTGTGGTTTTGTGTGTACCAGCTATTTAGCATAAAAACACCACAAGAAATAAAACTTCTAAATTTCCCTCCCCACCTCCCGCCCCCAATAAACTAAAGATGGAATGGTCAATGGCCACTTCTGAGTTCCAAAAACCGTCACTTCCAAAATGACACCAAGTGCACAACCTTTGTTGTGGAAATGAGTTTTATTCCCATGAGAATAAAGAATCACTTCCATATCAAAGGCTGAGCACTTAACTTCCTTTTGATACAGAGGCCAGGGGTAACTCAGAATTGGCCTATTTTAAGATGACACTTGGCCACTAATTAAGTCAACTTGTGAGGCCCCCTGTAAGGGTAAATTCTGACATCCCACATGGTCTTGAAACAGTGACACAAGGCAGATGAAATAGCACCATAGACATGAAGATGAATATCAAAACCTGTGACCACATTGAGAAAAATCACAAGTACAAGAGTAAAATACTGACATCCATGGTCTCCTTTTCAATTCATGAAACTAACACTTGTGAATTCAGGTATAGGGACATAATTACGCACCCTAAGAGAGAAACTTATCAAAAGAAAAGCTTAGAAAACAAACCCAAAATTTAACAGTTGATTGGAAGATTACAGTGTACTGGGTTCAGTCACTCGAATGCAGTTAATTGTAGTAGATAGCAGTAATCACTGTACTTGTGGCAAGCAATGAAATTCTGTATGTGAGCGTGGGACAGATTACCTTTACCAAACTGTATTATTCTGGGCTCTAGCTCCTTTAAGACGACAAAATAACCTCTCATTTTGTTACTGTAAAACCAACTTTGTCCCTTAAAGGGCAAATCAGGGGTAGTAATATAGCTAGGTGGGAGGTCCCAGTAGTGGTGGGCCGATGATCGATTATAATCGAAAGTTGATCGAAAAGTTCAAGCGACGCGACTATCGATTATGCTTTTTTCTTAATCGATTGTCGCGGAAAAATTAAAAATTTATTGGTGACAAATAAAAGTATTAAAATCAATAAAAATGTACGTTTAATATCTTGGTGTGAGTTGTCTTTTTCGTGGACTTCTAACTTCTAAGTCATAACAGCAGATATAATCTAAGATTGAAGGTGTTTACCTTTGCGTACCCTGCGCGCTGTGTTGTTGTCACTTCAAATACGCCACGCTTATTTGAAAGATGTGGCATGCTAAGCTACTTTGTATTTCGTAAACAACTGAACCAAAACATAAATTACTAGTTTAGTGTTTCGCGTTTGTAGTGTCACTACTATCACTAGCGAATGAAAGGTATTAAGAAACAACATCGCAACGATTTCCAGGGTCCTCTCTCAGACCTGCCTCCCCTACATGTTGCTGACGAGTCTAACATGGCGGCTGAAATGGCCGAGTTGGAGATCTGTCGTTATCCTGGAAACGCCAGGTCAAACGTGCGGGAATATTTTGGTTTTTATCAACTGAAGGAAGGGCCCGAACAAAGGAAAACTTGGATATGACGAAGGTAATCTGTTGGCTCTGCAGAAAGAAATACGCCAACAAAGGTTTGTGGCACGTGTTTTTCGTTGATTTCGTGTCAGTCTCACTTGAACTGCTGCAATGTAATCTTGGAATGCTTACTGGTAGATTTTTCCGATTATAATCGACGATCGATCGATTGGAGCAATCCGATTATTTCCTTTGATCGATTGTGAAATCTCAACCGATTCCCACCACTAGGTCCCAGTATGCCTGTATTCACCCTTTTTGGATGAAAAATTAAAGAAACATGATAAATCTTTCAAGTGAATGGTGGAAGTTTTTCCTTAGTTGATTGTACCCAATGTTTCCTTTAAACCTATTTTTAGCAGCAGAACTTGAGGTCTCAGAGTATTAGAGTAGACTATACTTTATGTTTTCAAGGAAAGGAGCGTACTTTCAAGTTGGGAGAGGACTTATTAGAAACAATGTCTCACCAAACAAGGAGGCTGCATACAGAAACATTTTGAATACTACTGGTAAAATGGTGGTCTGACCCTTCATCAGCTTCTACATCCATGAAGTCTAGACCAAATTAGTTGGGTAGCTAACTCAAAATTTGTAATTCAGCACAAGATAAAATTTGTCATTCTCCTTTAAGTAGTTCTCAGCACTAATTGAGAGCCCTTAAGAAAATCGTTTGACAGGGATTATTCCAGATGAAAAATTCCAGAGGTTACATTGAGCGACAGTATTTACTGCCTTATTTAACAGGGGTTAAAAACAACATTTTTTTTTACGAATCACTATTTTACATTGAAAGGTGATGAATGATGTTGTCAGTGGGCCACTCATATGTATGGAAGCACATGGGAGGAGGGCAAGAAGGAGTACCCAGAAAGTTTAATGAAATGGTGGAATCCATTTCAACCACTTTAATAGATAATGATATTGGTGAATACTTTCGAAATTAAGAATTTAATTGTCTTCTTGCAACAACCTAACAGTCGAACAGAGAGATATGTCCAGAAATGCACGCATTGGCAAAAATGGCAATTAATCGCCAAAATCGCCAAACTATAAACAAAGATTCAAATGAGATGGCTAAGGGGCCCTTTGGAAAGTGGCGATTTCGGCGAAAATGGCACAAAAAGCGCTTAATCGCCAAAATCGCCAAACTGTAAACAAAAATTCAGATATGTCCAGAAATGCACGCATTGGCGAAAATGGCAGAAATGGCAATTAATCGCCAAAATCGCCAAACTATAAACAAAAATTCAAATGAGATGGCAAAGGGGCCCTTTGCAAAGTGGCGATTTTGGCGAAAACGGCACAAAAAGCGCTTAATCGCCAAAATCGCCAAACTGTAAACAGAAATTCAAATGAGATGGCAAAGGGGCCCTTTGGAAAGTGGCGATTTCGGCGAAAATGGCGCATTTGGCGAAAATGGCAGAAATCGCAATTAATCGCAAAATCGCCAAACTATAAACAAAAATTCAAATGAGATGGCAAAGGGGCCCTTTGCAAAGTGGCGATTTTGGCGAAAATGGCAGAAATGGCGCTTAATCGCCAAAATCGCCAAACTGTAAACAAAAAATTCAAATGAGATGGCAAAGGGGCCCTTTGCAAAGTGGTGATTTCGGCGAAAATGGCAAAAATGGCACTTAATCGCCAAAATCTCCAAATTGTAAACAAAAATTCAAATGAGATGGCAAAGGGGCCCTTTGCAAAGTGGCGCTTTCGGCAAAAATGGCGTATTTGGCGAAAATGGCAGAAATGGCACTTAATCGCCAAAATCGCCAAACTATAAACAAAAATTAAAATGAGATGGCAAAGGGGCCCTTTGCAAAGTGGCGATTTCGGCGAAAATGGTGTATTTGGCCAAAATGGCAGAAATGATAATTCATCGCAAAAATCGCCAAACTATAAAAAAAAATTAAAATGAGATGGCAAAGGGGCCCTTTGCAAAGTGGCGATTTCGGCGAAAATGGTGTATTTGGCCAAAATGGCAGAAATGATAATTCATCGCCAAAATCGCCAAACTATAAACAAAAATTCAAATGAGATGGCAAAGGGGCCCTTTGAAAAGTGGCAATTTCGGCGAAAATGGCGTATTTGGCGAAAATGGCAGAAATGGCAATTAATCGCCAAAATCGCCAAACTATAAACAAAAATTCAAATGAGATGGCAAAGGGGCCCTTTGCAAAGTGGCGATATTAGCAAAAATGGCGTATTTGACGAAAATGGCGCTTAATCGCCAAAATCGCCAATCTGTAAACAAAAATTCAAATGAGACGGCAAAGGGGCCCCTTGGAAAGTGGCGATTTTGGCGAAAATGGCGTATTTGGCGAAAATGGCACAAAAAGCGCTTAATTGCCAAAATGGCCAAACTGTAAACAAAAATTCAGATATGTCCAGAAATGCACACATTGGCGAAAATGGCAGAAATGGCAATTAATCGCCAAAATCGCCAAACTATAAACAAAAATTCAAATGAGATGGCAAAGGGGCCATTTGCAAAGTGGCGATTTTGGCGAAAATGGCGTATTTGGCGAAAACGGCACAAAAAGCGCTTAATCGCCAAAATCGCCAAACTGTAAACAGAAATTCAAATGAGATGGCAAAGGGGCCCTTTGGAAAGTGGCGATTTCGGCGAAAATGGCGTATTTGGCAAAAATGGCAGAAATGGCAATTAATCGCCAAAATCACCAAACTATAAACAAAAATTCAAATGAGATGGCAAAGGGGCCCTTTGCAAAGTGGCGATTTTGGCGAAGATGTCAGAAATGGCGCTTAATCGCCAAAATCGCCAAACTGTAAACAAAAAATTCAAATGAGATGGCAAAGGGGCCCTTTGAAAAGTGGCGCTTTCGGCGAAAATGGCGTATTTGGCGAAAATGGCAGAAATGGCAATTAATCGCCAAAATCGCCAAACTATAAACAAAAATTCAAATGAGATGGCAAAGGGGCCCTTTGAAAAGTGGCAATTTCGGCGAAAATGGTGTATTTGGCGAAAATGGCAGAAATGGCAATTAATCGCCAAAATCGCCAAACTATAAACAAAAATTAAAATGAGATGGCAAAGGGGCCCTTTGCAAAGTGGCGATATTAGCGAAAATGGCGTATTTGACGAAAATGGCAGAAATGGCGCTTAATCGCCAAAATCGCCAAACTGTAAACAAAAATTCAAATGAGATGGCAAAGGGGCTCTTTGGAAAGTGGCGATTTTGGCGAAAATGGCGTATTTGGCGAAATTGGCAGAAATGGCAATTAATCGCCAAACACGCCAAACTGTAAACAAAAACTCAAACACAATGGCTAAGGGGCCCTTTGGAAATTGGCGATATTGGCGAAAATGGCGTATTTGGCGAAAATGGCGGAAACGGCGATTAATCGCCGAAATCGACAAATTATAAACAAAAATGC